AAAAGCCCCCCCCCTGTAAATTTAATCGATTTTTTTGCCCCCCCCCCTAGAAAGTTTTCTGCGGGCGCCCATGTTGTGAGCTACCTTCAGAGTTCGGGTTTCTCCTGATGTCTCACCATTAATGGTGACGAAAGGTTTGGCCCCTAAAGACGTGTCAATCATAAAGCACTGTGTTTGTCTACAGATATTTGTGTAAAAAAATAAATAACTCAATACATTTTAAAACAAAACTACGGCCAGATAGGGAGTGAGACAGAGTGAGAGAGAAAGTGAGAGAGAGAGCGAGAGAGTGTGAGAGTTTGAGAGAAAGAGTGTGAGAGAGAGAGTGTGTGTGAGAGAGAGCGTGTGAGAGAGAGAGCGTGAGAGAGAGAGAGTGTGAGAGAGAGAGAAAGTTTGAGAGAGAGAGCGTGTGTGAGAGAAAAAGAGTGTGTGAGAGAGATTGAGAGAGAGAAGAGTGCGAGTGAGAAAGAATTTGAGAAAGAGAGAGAGTGTGTGTGAGAGAGAGCGTGTGAGAGAGAGAGCGTGTGAGAGAGAGCGTGTGAGAGAGAGAGCGTGTGAGAGAGAAGTATGGGTGTGAGAGAGTGTGAGAGAGAGAGAGAGTGTGAGTGTGAGAGAGAGAGAGAGAGAGAGAGAGAGAGAGAGACAGAGAGACAGAGAGAATAAGTATGTGAGAGAGAGAGACAGAGAGTGAGAGTTTGAGAGAAAGAGTGGGAGGCACAACACAAAATGTCCTTCGCCGATATTGTATATACATGATTATTTTGGACAGCAAAAAAAAAATCTGAACACATAGGAACTATCACTATCACATAAGCTCGAGCAGCAACACTACGAACAACTGTTGCGAAGAATTGTTCTAATTTACCTGAAAAATTTACAGTTATTTTAAAATGTTGTATAACGGGCACAACAAAATATTATTCAGCAAATTATTTTCGCATTTTTTTGTGTGTCTTCATAGCCCAACTGTTCCTTCCTTAAATTAAAAGAAATACGTGTGGCTATGGTAAAAAAAAAAAATATGCTGTAGAACATCGGTTCTCAACCTGTGGGTCGCGACCCCTTTAGGGGTCATCAGAGGGGTCACCTAAGACCATCTGAAAACACATATAGTCTACAGTTATAAAGTGTCAACGAAAATAATTTTGTGGAAATGGGGGGGGGAGGGGTGGTTGCCACGGCATGAGGACCTGTCGCGGCATTAGAAAGGTTGAGAACCACTGCTCTAGAAGTTATCAGAGGTCAGATAGCAGCCTTTTTTTGTTAACGTCTACAGTGATGTTTCATGGCAATGCATGGAACATGCTAATCTTTTGAAAAGTATAAGAAATAAGATGAGATAAGAATAATCAGATTCTTTTATTAATCCAAACAAATGGAAATGTGTTTTGATTGCATTGTACATTTTGAGCACATAAATAAAACAATTTGAAGACATCTGCATTAAATTATTTCACTATAGCAGCCATTCAGTGAATTCTCTTAGTCATACCAGGGACTTATTAGTTCTCATTTAGTTTTTCGACTCCTGGGGGAGCACGCTGGTAAATTCGTACAGATTGGGGAACAAAAGAATTTGTATATCTTCAGTCCTCGCCCTGAGAAAAAGAGTTCGTACCGAACGGCCCGATCCTAGGTATCTGTGATGAAGAGGGTGGGATGCATCATCCAAAATTTGTGAAGGATGTTTAGTTCGTGTTATGCTCCTAGCTTTCTTGTTTAGCCTGTTCATTCGGCGTTTAATATCAGACGATGAATTCACACACCAGCAGGTAATGCTGAAATTAAGTAGGCTTCCAATAGTTGCACTGTAGAATATGTTAACGACTCGCTTGTTTACGCCCAAATTGTACAGTTTTTTAAAGTAGAAAAGTCGTTGGATGATTTTTTTTTATACATCATTTGTCCGTGCTCATGCCATGTTAGCTTATTATTAATGGTGACACCTAAGTGCTTATATGCCTCTTACTTTCTCTACACTTTGATTATTTTTGTTATTTTTTTTGTGTGTTCAGATCAGTAATGTTCCCCCGTCCGGACATCAACAACCATTTACGTCGTTTTTGAGACGCTGGAGAAAATTTTCATCGCACCAATGAATAAAGCTTGTAACCAAGTGGCGGTATATGCCTTCTCCCTTAGATATTGAGCCAACGATGGTGGTATTATCAGCAAAATTTATGTTTGGAACCGTGTCGCTTGAGCTCTGAATATCATTGGTATATATTGTATACAGAGCGCAACCTTGTGGCACCAGGTGCTTATTTCTCTTGTTAGATATAATTGGTAATTTGTCATTTACCTTGACATAATGTGGGCGATTTATTAAAAAGTTCAGTAAATATAGATTTTTAATCCAATTACTTCGATCTCTGTCCGTCAATGCACGAGTTATGTGGACCTACTGAGGGGCTTGGATAGTACTAGGCTATTTCGCACCCCCATCCCTTTTTTGTCATGGAGAGACGGGGGGGGGGTAGACTCTTCGCCCGCCCCCGGGGAGCACAAACATTTGCTACACCCCATTTATTGAACGTCGTTAGGTATTTGTTTAAAAGTTGAAGAATTTTTAAGGCTGGCAGATGTTGCGTGGGCTAAATCATGACAAAAGGTCGATAACTCTGTTATTATTGTATTCTTCTGAAACAATTAAATTATGTCTCCTTATCCTTTACTTCTTTGACTGAAGTTCTGCCGCCTCTAGAACAGGGGTTCTTAGATTTTTTTGCAAGATCCCACGCCCTGTTCATTTCAAATCATTTCCAGCAACACCCACGACAAAAAAAAATAATTCAAATAATGCTGATTTTATGAGTCTTCCTGCATCCCCTGACATTTTCATCTAGCTAGACTTAGACTGTCCAGAGCCTTAATTGGGTGCAGGCACCCCTGGTTAAGGACCTCTGGTCTAGAAAATGATAGGCCTACTTTTTTTTTTTTTTTTTACTTAGCCAGAAGTCTTATGGGCCAAAGGGCTGAAATAGTTAGGTAATTTTACTGTTCCCATCACCTCCCCAAAATCCCCTCAACATCTCTGGTCTAGAAAATGATAGGACTACTTTTTTTTTTTTTTTTTTACTTAGCCAGAAGTCTTATGGGCCAAAGGGCTGAAATAGTTAGGTAATTTTACTGTTCCCATCACCTCCCCAAAATCCCCTCAACAGCGAGCGGATGATCACTCACAAAGACGTGGGGCCGTAGCAAAACTAGCATGAACAGTTGCCAAATTGATATAAAGTTGAACCATACATCAAATGGAGATTTTAAAGAATAATATTCAATAATATTTTATTCATTAATTTTTAACATATTTTATTGTATATCAAACATCAAAATTACATAAAATTAAATAAAGATGGCCAATACTATTATATTCTGTATCATTTTGAGCGACATATTTTGTTATTTAGACTGACCATTTCGATATTTCAGTACAAAGTAATCTAACAATGGCTATCTTTACGATAAACCACAACTGCAAAATGTAACGTGAATGAATTCCCCCTGCTTTGTAGTTTTCTAACCCAACACCGAAGACTTACAGTTAGACTATATAATAGTAATATGAAGGAACGAATGTTAACGTTCTTAGTCCCACGCTAAAAATTATATTTATAATTTTGTTGATATTTTGACAAAAAGTCAATAGCCTAAAGTGCCTAAACTTAAATGCAATACTAATACTTCGTCTGGGTGGATGCTGTCAAAAACTGCAAAGTAAAGCCTAGCCTATGGCAATATTCAACCAGGAGTAACCACATTCAAAAAAAAAACGGTGAAAAGTGGAAGAAATTACTAAGTATTAACTTAAATAATTAATATTTATTATCTAAGGTTCCAAATATTAATTTAATTAATACTGTCAAGTTAGTTGTATATTTAAATGGTTAGACTACACTCATTACTAGTGTCACTACTCAGTACTCAGCTATTGATATTGATTATATTATAATAATTATACTTTATACTACTACTTTACCTCATCACTAATTATCATGATAATATTTATGATTTATGTGTTGAATTTTATTCAAGTAAACATCAACTGTCAACATGGATATTCATATATGTGGAGGCTGCCTGTCAAAATTCACAGATATATACAAGTTTATCAATCACAAATTGTCATGTAACCTGTCAAGTGCAAGCAGTTTGAAGCAAACAGAAACACTCATCAACGAAGCAAAAGTAATTTCTCAACATATACAGTCAAATAAAACAGCTCCACAAACTTCAAATACAGAAACTTTCCTAGTGGACAAAATCATTTGTGCAAAGCCCAACAGTCAACCACTTGCAGGAGAACCCAAGCAATCTTCCAGCAAAGAAGATGGCCATTCAACAGTATTGATGCCACAGTGCCCAGCCAGAAATGCCTTAGAAGTCACAACATCTAACTTTTCACAATCAATAAAGCAAGACATAAAAGCTAGTTGTAGATCTACTCGAAAGTTTTTTACTGTTGCGGATACTAAATTAAAAGAAAGCAACCCGTCTATGGACATAGAAAAATCTCAACAGAATGTGTTTAGTCACATTAGCCCGAGGAAGAATGTTGATCTTTCAACAGATGATATTTCTGTTTATGTTGTTAGCCCTAAGTCATTTGCTTCCTCTGTTAAAGGGCAATGTGATTTTAGTCCCCAAATGAAGTTTCCAGATAACACAATGGGCAGGATATCATGGGCTGATTCATGTTCCATGTCTCATTTGGGTGGGGAAATTTCCAATGGATATACTGCTGATAGCACCATGGCAGCATCAGTTCATCAAAAATTAGAAAATTCAATGAAGTTGACTTTTACAAATATTGATGCTGGTATGCAAGGACAATGTCGTAATGCTAATGGATCAAAGAACGGTCAGCCACCAATCACAAGCCTGAAATCAAAATTTTCTTTAGATACTGATTCGACTCCCAGTTCTGACAGCTCCACACCCTGCCCAGAGGACTTAGAAGTGGGTCAGATCTCGGCAGCAATGCTAGGGCAAGACAGAAATCAGGGAGAGGTACACAGAACCATAATAGATACAAGTTTAAATGGTAATAATAAATCTGAATCTGAAGTATCTGTAGGTAATGTGGTACAAAACTCTGTCAAGGCAGAAAATCAAAGTTATGATTATGTTCGAGATAAGGCAGCGAGCGCGCCAATCATCAAGAATGAAGTTCAAAATAGGCGCAGAGTTTCCATAGAAAAGCGAGAGCGTCTTCAAGGTGTCTCAGATGACCTCCTTGCTTGTTCTCCTTATTTGGACGCATTCCTAAACGCTAATGGTGCTTCCAACAAAAAAGCCCTTAAAAAGGTATTTACATCTATAAATTTTGTTTGCTACTGTTTTTCTTTAATTTGATAATAATTTTAAAACGGCTAATCCTAGATACGATTGCCACAACTTATTTTCCTGGGAGTGACTTGCCTTTGTTTATTTTTACTAAATTATTTTAGGGATCGATTTAGGGTTCAGGTTAGGCATAGGGATAGATGACTTCACATGATGTGTTAACCAAGATGGCGGCCATTGAGAAAAAATAGTGGCAATCGTATTCAAAATTTACCTTAAAAACAAATTAAGACAATCATATAATTATCAGGGATTTATATTGCTTATTTCAAAATATCTTTATATTTCTATTTTTATTATAACTTGCCTTTTGGAGTTATGTTTGTAAGAATATGTAAATTACTTTTCTTTTACAAATGTGCTATGTTTTTTGTTGTTGTTTTCTTTTGCATTTTTTTAATGTATGTGGATATTACAGTTATATCTATTTTGTTTTTTTAAAGTGACTTTTCTGCAATTTAAACAAATAAATTTAATTTCAACAGCCAATATCTGCCAATCTTCCTCCGCAAATGTGCTACAAAGCTATTTTTACAAGCCCTTCTAGTGCAGGTCACAGGCTTGCTCCAACGCAGACAGAACAATCAACTTACACAGGGAATCCCTCCAGCAAAGAAAATCCCAAAGCAGTGCCACTTCCGTCGCTCTCAAGAACTCAAAAAAGCTCCAAGGCAGTTTTATACAAAAACATTTCAGCATCTGCCAGAATGATGAGTAAACAGGCTGACAGTATAAAACCCCAGCATGGTGCAGCAGGCCCTAAAAAGAAAACGGAAAGAAAAATAGCTTTTGATAAACTTCAAGAAAGTGCATTATCAGTTGAAGCCCCTGATGTAAACTCAAATTCACAGGGAGATAATAAAATTTGCCAAGAGCATTTTGAAACATTGACTGTTCATAAACAGGAAGCCCCTGAGCTATCTTCCCTTACATCAGAAAATGGATCAGTCAAAGCATTGATGGAAGACAGAACCTATAAATCTCTCCCACATTTTGAACTTACTGATTTGAATTCTCTCAGCAGTGCTGTCCAGAAACAAGAAGAAACTCAGTTTCAGAACACAAGCACCAAGAGTTATGAGCTTAAATCAACCGAAGAACCTCAGATGTTTCACATTTTAGGGCTCAATACAGCAAACTCAAAATCAGAATTCAGCATCATGACACAAGGCAGTGATACCATTGAACTGTTTTCACCTATGTCCACAGCCCTGGATGAAAATGCGGTCATTATGGTCTACAAAACAATGGACAACAACATCCACCAAATGGTGGCCAAAAATGTCCAGACCAGCCAGGCTGAAATGCAAAGTCTTCAGTCAGTTGGGATGTACCAGACTTGCAGCTTTTCGGATTCCTCCCATGGTCAAAACCTGATGGCCAACCAGCCTATTCTTAACCAGCAGGACACAGACTCTGATCTATATATCAACATTGTTCCCAGTGACAACACAGACTGCGGAATGCCACAGCTTTTGTTCCAAAACTTTGTGTGCTCTGGTCCCAACCTTTCACAGCTGATTGCCATTTCAGCAGGCAGTTCTGCCTCAGGGAGCTCACCAGGGGTGTTCACGGTCAGTCAGGGTGGCCACGGGGCTGTCGATGGATCATCTGAGGTGGTTGTGCAGAGACTGCTGGATGTGAAGCAGAAACAAGAAGTGCATGTGGAAAAGGAGAAATGTATCATGAGGCCAAGGAAAGCTGCCATGAGTACAAGTGCGGTGCATGCAGTTGAAAAAATTGTCTCGGAAGCAAGGGGCACCAACAGTGGCCAGAAAGGGAAAATTTCAACCCCACCAGCAAGCACGGCAACTGAAGGTAACTTGAACCCAGACCAATGATTTTATTAAATTTATCATATTCCTGATTATCAAGACTTTTTGGGACAGTCTGCTCAACAACAGAGATTTAACCTAATTATTTATCTAGCCTAGAGAGCTATACTAAATGAAAGGTGGTAAAAATTGGTGATATTATAGAAAATTAGTATACCAAATTGGGAAAATAAGATGAACAATATTAAATTAGCAAAAAAAAGCAAAATAATGTCTTTTAGTTGGTCCACTTAAACAAGGGCCCATTCTTTGTCTTTTAGTCAATCCACCTAAACAACTGCCCAGTCTTGGTATTTCAGACCTGACCCCAGAGGCATATAAAGATGATGGGCCAGATGGGAAGAAAAGCAAGTATTTTATATGCAAGTTTGACAAATGCAGGTAAACTGTCACAGCACCATGTGTTGATGATTATAGTTTTCCCATAAGGTTATTTTAGTTCTGAATACATCAATATAAAGATCAGGTATCTCAGCATATAAACACCCTGCACTGGTACATTGAAACAAGCTTTTTAAAAATAAAATTGTTTCAACACTCTAAACTTGTACTTGTACACATATTTGGGGTGGGGATGTGGAGGGGGGCTGGCGGAGCTTGTCATTAGGTTTGGCCCCGGTTAGTGAGTTATCTGCTGGTTATTTTGTCAAGATTTTACAATTTTTTTTCCAATTTTCAATCAGATACACAACAATATTCTACAAAGACTTCCAGAGGCATTACCGCACCCACACCGGTGAGAGGCCCTTTCAGTGCAAAGACTGCGGGAAGACATTCAACAGGTCTGATAAACTCAAGATACACTCAAGATGGCATGCGGGAAGTAAGCCTTTCAAGTGTCATCAATGTAAGTCATTGTGAGGTGGTGGTAAACATTTCTGACTAGGAACACATTTTTAACACAAAGAGGGAAAAAATGTTTGATGGAAACTTTTTTTTTTAAAATATGCAATATCGGTGTGTAATAACCTTATTCTATGTTTCATTTTTGTCTAAAAATCTTATTCTATTCTTAATTTTTATCTAATAATCTTATTCTGTACTTCATTTGTATCTAATAATCTTATTCTGTACTTCATTTGTGTCTAATAATCTTATTCTGTACTTCATTTGTGTCTAATAATCTTATTCTGTACTTCATTTGTGTGACTGATAATGATAACACTGTTTGCAGTCTATCACAATTGGCCACTTTGTCCCATAATTTAAAACACAAAACATTTATCAATGGGAAGTTATATCAGTTGGATGACATGTTGGCAGTTACCTAGCAGATCTCAAAGTGATCTCAGGCGACCCTAATGACGTTAGCTAGCAGATCTCAAAGAGATCTCAGGCGACCCTCATGATGTTAGCTAGCAGACCTCAAAGTGATCTCAGGTGACCCTCATGATGTTAGCTAGCAGATCTCAAAGTGATCTCAGGCGACCCTCATGATGTTAGCTAACAAATTTCAAAATTATCTGAGGTGACCCTCTGGTTGCAGCTAAATTTTGCTGCACATGAAATGGCATCAAAGCCATTCCTTTGATTTAAAAGGTTTTTGTTTTGACAGATAACATTTCTTTTTTTTTTTTTACTCGTTATGAAATAAATGTTTTTAAAGAATAAAAACACACTAACGTATTTATGTGGTTTCAGACTAAAATAGGTTTGATGATAAGCAGCAGTACTTAAAACTGAGCTCACTAAACTCCATCTTAATATTCTGTTCAATTTTTTTTTTTTTTCTAAGTTTGAGGGCCAGCAATCAATTTTGATCATTTTGGCTCCTGGTTTGAATTCAGAATTTGCCTTCTCTTAGATGAGTTGCCGTCCAAGGCTAATGAGTCCCATCCACCCCTGGATGCTTGGGATATTTTGCTTGTCTTGGCTTGGCTTTGGTGGGGATTGAACTCCAGACCACCAGCTATTTGGATTGAGTCAGTTTAGACCACTTTGCTACCCATGCCCATAGATTTAAAATGTGTTAACTTTGTGGTATATTAGAGCTCTGTGGCTACTGATGAAGCCATGTGTTAACTTTGTGGTATATTAGAGCTCTGTGGCTACTGATGAAGACGGAAAAATCAATGTTTGTAGAACAATCCTAGATCTGTGGCTCAAATAGTTTTGAAACTACTGATGAAGATTGAAAGATTGATGTTCGTAAAACAAGCCCAGAGACACTGTGTTTTGATTTTTTATATAAATTTACTTAATAACATGGCTTATCCATTAATTTGTTTACCTAACACCCCAGGTGATTATGCTGCCGTTGAGGGAGGGAGCTTAAAGAAACACATGCGGACTCACACAGACGAGAGGCCTTTTAAGTACGATTAAGTTCTCATAGCCCGCCTCTATAACTTTGATTGCAACAAGTTTTAACTCTGCTGGACCGAATTACAAGTTGGCTTGTCCCAGTGTTTATTGCTTTAAAAAAAAACATTATAATGTGCCATGTTGTTAAATGTAATTAAATCTGGTCTCATTACTTATTGTACATTAAGAATAGTTTTGTGGATTCCAGTTTTGGTGCTGTTTTTTAATTCACCTTTTGAGGTTTGTTTAGTTGAGTTGCATTTGTCTAACGGTCACGCTTACATGTAAATCAGGTGCCAGATCTGCTCCTACGCCAGCCGCAACTCTAGCCAGCTGATTGTTCATCTGCGCACGCACACTGGAGACGCCCCATTCCACTGCACCACCTGTACAGCCAAGTTCAAAATCAATTCTGACCTGAAACGCCACCTGCGTGTCCACACAGGTGAAAAGCCTTTCAAATGTGACCGATGTGACTATAGATCCTCAAATAAAGGTGAGCTTTTATCATTCAGGCCAGATATTCTTAAAATTTTATTTCTTGTTAAACCGACAAAATTTCAGTGACCATTAACCCTGGAAATAAGACTGATCACATAGTTGAGTTTGATCCAGTATCTTTCAATGTTGGCAGTAAAGCTCGGTTAAATTGGAGAGTAACTTTAATTCCCTAAAAGTGTGCTAATGCTGACCAAATTTTCAACCCCAACCCCCAAAATTCTGTTTTGCCTTTTCTTTTCTAGGGGAAGACGCAGGAAATCTGATTTCATGAAATAAAATTCACCGATAACTGCGCTAGATGAGATTCTTTTTTTTTTTAAATATTGTGGGTGCGTTGGGGAATATTTAATTTTATTTTTCTGAAAGAGTTGGTACAAAAAATCTGCGGTGTAAAAGCAGTCGGGTCATTAGAATATTAATGTAGTTCAGGGGTGTGAAAAAAATGTGCGGTTGTGAGCCTTGGTGGAGAGGAGCTCTAATTTGGATTCTTATAAAGTGTATTACTTTAATGCATGTTTTGTCAAATTCTCAGCCCCACCCCCCATTGCTCAATATTACATTTTATGAAGGATTTTAAGGGTTGTTTAATTATGCTGCTAAATGTGATAACTTTCTTTTTTTGTTCGTTTTACATTGCAGTTTTATGCGCAGACTATTTATTGTGCAAGGATGTGGTGGAGCAGGCCAGGGGCCTACATGGGCCACTGATGATGATGATTTATTGTCAATTTATATGTTCAATATTAGGAATAATTTTTTATGATAAAATTTTCCTTGATTTGCTTCAGGAAATTTGAAAACTCATGTGAAGATCAACCACTCTGAGGAAAATGAAATCCATTGCCCCAAATGTGACTTTGTGACATCATCCAAGAAGAGACTGAGAGAGCACGCTAAGCTGCATGACACCAAGCCTTTGGAGCGGTGTAGTCAGTGCGAGTACACGTGCACCAGTCGCAACGCCCTGCGTACGCACACCAGCATACACAACAAGGACAAGCCTTACCACTGCAGCTACTGCTCATATTCCACAAAGCAGGGTGGCAATCTAAAGAAGCATGTTGAAAATCTTCATCTGGATAGGCCGAGGCCATCCAGGCATTCTTCTAATACCAGGTCAGCAACCAGCAACACCACCAGCGGTGGAAGAGTCAAGGCGAATACTGATCGGTGCGAGGAACGCAAGCATCGTGGTAGATCTTTCAGTTGCAGGAGGCTGTTCGAGTGTTCCGATTGTGGCTCCAGTTTTGTCAGGGCGGATTCACTGCGATGTCACATGAAGCAACATAGTCCAGATGCAAGCGAGGTAAGTTATTTGCTGCTTAAACACTGAAGACCTTTTTGTTTTAACATCAGCTTTTGGCCGTTGTAAAGCTTTATGTAACTTCTGCTTATTGGCTTTATAGTTTTTTTTGTGGTGGCTCCCGCTACATTAAAGGGGTAGACTGGGATTCCATCAATGATTTTGTTTACATTATAGAAATTTCATTAAAATGTTTATTGTTTTTATGTTATTTTTTTTTTAAATTTGACAACATGTGCATACATATTTATGTTGTAATTTACTAAGTCCTGCAAAAATAAAGCTTTTTTGAAAACAAAAAACAAAAAAACTTTACATTTATATTAATTTTATATAATTTTAATAAAATTGCATTTTGAAAAAATATTGCAACGCCTTTTACTGAATTTTTCAAATTGGATTTTGTGCAATTCCATCAGCAAATAATGTGATAATGTTTATCAGTTCATTAAGCACAAATACTGAGTTTAAATAATATCACTCTACATTTTTGTTTTCACAGAGCACATGTAAAGAAACTGAGACGCTTGAAGCCCAGCGATGTCAGGCGACTAAAGAATTTACGACCTGCCATCCTGCAACGGACACATCATCTTCATCTGGATATGGCTGCCAGGGCATTCAGCAAATTGTTGCCGCAGCTTCTAGGATTTATGAGGACAATCTGTTTTCAGTCAACATGACTGGGGATGTGGCAGATGAAACTCAGCATTTGTGTGATTCAGCCAGCTTACCGAATCATCCCTCCTTTTCCACACCCTACGGCATTTCTGGATCCTGTGCGAGCGTTGTTGAACCTAAAATAAAAACCAGTCTCGTTCACCAGGAACCTGGGGTTGGGGTGAATTCATCTCCTGCCCAACTGCAAGGTTTGAGTGAAGGAATTAAGAGAACACATCTGCCATGGGAGCATCAATCCTACACTATGTCGGTAAGGGGTGACGAATCAAACAATTCAGCCAGCTTGGTTTCGTCACGCAGGTCTGGAAAGGCTCCAGGGTTAAAAGCAGTTGATCTGAAAAGCACCGCCTCGCACAGTAATCAGGCGAAACCCAAGCAAGCCCCAAGTGTTTCTCACAACAACAAAAATGGAGGCTCTCAGAGCAATGGACCCAAGTGTCAAAAAAGAAAGAAGTGTGACAATTTAACTGGGCCACCTGCATCAAGCGCATCGTTGGTTGTTAGCCCCATATCTGCACCCACCCTTCACTCAAATCAAAGCTACTACCCAGATGTCTTGTTACAGCAGATCATGCCAGGTGTCCACCAGGTCGTGGACCAACTTGAAACAGCTATGGTTGTGACACAGCAGGTATGGAAATACTATTGCTCAATCTTCAATTTTCAGCGTTTCCCATTAATTTTAGAACTGAATCGGTGGTCTCCAGTCTACAGCCAAGTGCTTTAATTTATTCAACATTGAGACATTTTTTAAAATAATGTTATTTGTTTGTGTTATCGATAGATGGAAGAAACTCAAAAATTCAATGAGAATAATTGCTTATGATATTTGTTGAATATTATTGAATTATTTTACAATTCTTGATATTTTAGGTTGGCGATGGACCAGGGACATATAACATACAGTTAATGCCCACTGCTCCCCAAGATGCCAATCAGATGTCAGCCATGACCCAAGTAATGAAACATTTCAATTAATATATTCACTTCATATATTATTAGGGTTGAAATGGGTAAAAAGACTTTGAATTGGTATGCTTGTAATTAGTTTTTGTAGTGTTGTGTTTGTTTTAAATGTGGTAAATTATAGATTTTTTGTTTGTTTGTTGTTTTTTTTTTGTCGACTTTGTACCACGCTTCGAGCCTTGGGGATGAAGCGTGTTTTTGAAATAAACTTTATTATTATTTGGATGAGACACCATCCATATACTTCATTTAAAGCTCTGAGAAGTGTGGGCTTTATTGATATAAATGGTCCCCAAACCAACATATGAGAAAGTCATACGTTTTTGCCTCACTAACAATACTCAAATTAAATAAGATAAAAATGGTCCGCAAACCAACATATGAGAAAGTCATACGTTTTTGCCTCACTAACAATACTCAAATTAAATAAGATAAAAATGGTCCGCAAACCAACATATGAGAAAGTCATACCTTTTTGCCTCACTAACAATACTCAAATTAAATAAGATAAAAATGGTCCGCAAACCAACATATGAGAAAGTCATACCTTTTTGCCTCACTAACAATACTCAAATTAAATAAGATAAAAATGGTCCGCAAACCAACATATGAGAAAGTCATACGTTTTTGCCTCACTAACAATACTCAAATTAAATAAGAAAAAATGGTCAGCAAACCAACATATGAGAAAGTCATACGTTTTTGCCTCACTAACAATACTCAAATTAAATAAGATATAAATGGTCCCCAAACCAACATATGAGAAAGTCATACGTTTTTGCCTCACCAGTTTTCAATACAGCCTGGACCCAATCTACAGTATCAGTCAGCTGCTGCACACATACAAATTGTCCTTCCAGTGGATGCTGTCCTGGAGTCCAGTCAGGTCAGATGGTACTTTACTTATTTATAGCATTATAAATGTTTGTTATTTTTTCCCCCATTTTACCGCCGAATGGAAGTTCAGTAAAACCAGTTAATTTTTTAATTTGTTTTCGGAACAACAGAAGCTTTCAAATTTGTTCCTTTTATCTCACAATGTTTAATTTGAGAAATATACTAGGTTGTGGGGATGATATGTGGGAATAGATTAGTTCTCACATCATTGTCACTTTGCTCTGGGATTGAACATTTACAATTACATCACTTTGCTACGCATGGTAGTCCTGACACATTTAAGTTCTGATGAAAGTACTGTTTTGGGGGTGTAATATCATGACATTTAGTGGTTGCTTACCAGAGAGTAAAATTCACTAGAAATCACGTGGCGCACGAATACAGATCATGAATTATAAAGGCGGGAACTGTTTCTTCCACCATCTTGGTGAGCATGTAAAATTGGAGAGTGATCTTAGAATGTTCCAAGAAGGAGGTTGTATGAATCTATTGTCCACAGACACTCTTAGAATTTGAGTATTGTAATCATATTTTTTATTCAGTGGATGATTACTGATTGTTTATTTCACATTGACCCTGTTGAGTGGAGCTGTACTATACATTTATTCAAGTATTATATGTGAAGTTCTTTGAATTAATAAAGTGATGTGTGTGAAGACCTTGACGTCTTGAGTGAGCAATAATAGATAATCCTGACCCAATGACGAGAAGAAAGGTTTCAATAAGTGTCATAAATGTCAGATTCTACAATGATGTCCAAAGTGTCATCATAAGTGTCAGACTACAATGGTGTCCGAAGTGTCATAAATGTCAGAATCTACAATGGTGTACACAGTGTCATAATGTCAGAATCTACAATATAGTATGAAGTGTCATAAATATCAGAATCTATAATGGTGTCCCAAGTTTACAGGGGGAAAGACTTAGATTGTCTAATCCCATAAGACTCCATCCATCTGACAGACATGATCTAGTCCAGTGGTTCTCAACTTTCTTATTGTCATGACCCTTTAATACAGTTCCTCGTGTTGTGGCGGCCCCCAGCCACAAACAATTTTTCGTTGCTACTTCAGAACTGTAGAGTATATGTGTTTTCCAATGATCTTAGGCGACGCCTGAGAAATGTTCGTTAGACCCCCAAAGGGGTCGCGACCCACTGGTTGAGAAATGCTGATCTGGTGAAGAGAATTATCTTTGCTGGATTTCTTAGTAGAAGTGTGAAAAGACAATAGATCAGCATTATCCCGGGGCTTAATTAATTTTTGTATTTAATTTTGTTAATTGTATGCAGTGATTTTGTTTGGACAAGGTGAACCACTGCTGAACGTACAATTTGTTTCCCTGCAAAAATGTTAAGATTAAAAACTTGTTCAATTTGCAAGGAAGGATGACTGGAATATTCTTACTCTCTTTATCTCCCAGCCTTCTGACCAAGTTGGGAGTCAGATGTTCTCAGAGACACTCAACTTCACAGAATCTCAACTCCTGGACCCAACGGCCCAGCCTGTCATTACCAACAACAGGACCATGGTGGCTGGTCAGCTGACTGCATCACAATGAGTGGATGTTGATTCTCTAGCTTAATAGTAACAGTGACATACATTTCCAAACACACACACGCAGCAATTTTACCGGTACAGCAAGACAGTTTTCAGGTAAATAGACTTCCTGATGGCAGATATGAGGGGAAGGGACATTTGTATGTCCCCACTCCCTAAACATTGCTTTTGTTGCTGTAATTTAATCAATTTAACCCACGAACTGTGGTCGGCTGAAAAAATGGACCGACATTCTTGTTCTGTACTGGTCCTGTGGCGGCAGAAAAAATCGGCCGATAAAAAACACGACCCTATAGCAACTTCCAATCCAATATTTAACTGGAATCATAGCCACTTTCTTTTATTAATAATTAAATCAACTTCCTGGTCTAGCTTTTTCTTGAAAACTTATAAGTACCTTTTAATCTGAATTTTATATCGCTGGTTTTTTTTTTAAAGATAAAATGGCTGGGGTCATTCAGTGCAAGACCTAACAGAAATATTTTTGAAAGCTTTTTAGGAGAGGATTTAAGTGATACTGATAATGATTTTAACATTCCCCATGACGATCTCAGTTGAGATTTTTCTTATCATGAATCCGATACTAGTCTTAGTGATACTGAAGTGGGCCTACTGTTAGACTTCGAGCCAGGCCTGGAGGTTGGGCAAGGAATGGCTGAATTTTAGGCACAGAAGCTACAGATTATAGATCAGAACTAATAAATTTTATAGTTAAACAACCCAAATAGTTCCACAGTTCCATTTTAAATGTTTACTAGTCAATAATAACTATTTTGCCTTAGATTTTGTATGTTGTACTTGGTTTTAGCTGTGGTCCCAGTTTCTTAAATAAATGACCTAAAATTACAAAAATTGCTTTTAGATATTTAATTGTAATCAAAAACTTTGCAAACTATACATTTTCTGAAAGATAAATGAATTGGCTACAACATTTAATTGCCGTTTTAAATGTATCTATAAAAATTAATGATGTTATGAGTACTTGAAAGCAAGACATTTTGTCGATTTTTTTTCTTGAGCACTCCAAGGTCAAGGACACAGCAAAATTTTTTTATGGGGTGGGCAATATGGCCAACTTTATCCCCATCCATTTACCTTTCTAAAAATATATACTTATTGGGGTCTTGGATCAATATTTCTATGTCATTTAATTTAATTTCAAAAGTCACTCAAAAAGCTCTGAAAAGCTCCCACACTACAGAGTAATGCATGCCACAGTTTGTGGGTTAAGCATTAGATAAACTATCATAAACCTGACATTTGTAGTTGATCTTGGTTGCTGAATTCTCAATTTTGTCCACACTGTCTTGTCCTTAATGTTGACAAATGTTTCTATAGTTAGAAAAAATCTTAGGCTCAAGATATGATGACAATTCTCTAGGTACCGGGGTACATGTACATATGTAGGTATAGCTGTAATGCTGTGATAAAGAAATATCCCAATAGTTGGTACTATTGGTATTCTTATAAAGTAACTTTTGTAGATGGGAAGATCATCGCAAATAAACTGAAATTCTTGTTGAAGTTGAAGAGTTTTTTTGTTGATGAACAGTTAATATTTCCTTGCTGCGAGGATGTCTTATCCAGTGTGCTGTGAAGTTCTGAACTTTTGAGGCTAAAGCATGGTTTCCTGTCTAATGATACTGTTGGATGGCGAATAGCCGAGACGTCTGATAATATACTGTCTCAGTTGGTCTCAAAGATTCAGAATGTGATTTTCAACTTCTTTGCGATCCAGTTTGATGAAATGATAGATGTTGCCAACTAAGCCCAACTTTGCATCTACTTAATTAAGATATGCATTTGACAAGCAACTGGAAGATGATTTTTTTTGCTTTTCAAAGCTCTCAGTGCCAGAACAACTGCAAAATAAATATTTAACAAAGTGGACAGATTCTTTGAGGTGCATTTTATCAAATGGTGTTTGGCATGTGTACTGACGGCACTCCATACTTGAATGCCATTCTGGTTTTCAAACTTTAGTTAAGCAAAAATCCCCAACCGTTATTGCAGCGGTTCTCAACCTGTGGGTCGCGACCCTTTTAGTACACACTGCCCTTTTCATCGCATGCCTTAATACTTAATGTTGAAAACCATGCATAATGAGTTGAAAAATGCTCTTAGTGAAGTAGTTACAGCGAATGCACACACATCTCTTTTGTTTTCTGAGTTATGAAAAGAAAATTGTTCCATATTTGAAATGCGCTTGTTGCACTCCCACGTGAAATGGCTTTCCAAAAGGAAAAGTTTGAAGGGAGTTTTTGTACTAGAACTATGTGAAGAAATGCAGCAGTTTTCGCAAGACGCTAAACCAGACATGAGCCCAAAATTCTCTGTCAGCTTTGTCCTTGAATTCCATCAACATGGGGCTGCAAGAACAAGAGATCTCAGTGCTTCATTGTCAAGAACAAAAGATCTCAGTGCTTCATTGTCATGAATCAGTGAGACAGATTTCAGTGGTCTGTCTTTAAAGGGACAATTTAATTCAAGAATAGTTTAATTTAAAAAGTGATGGGGGTGCAAAACATGTTTTCCGTTGCCCAATCCTGATAAGAGTTGCACTGGCCAAACCAAAGCCAAACCTAGAAGAACTGGTCACTGCAGAGCAGATGCAGCCATCTTATAAAATGCACATTGAAGACTAAGTTTTGCCACTTTCTGAATAAACAACTGTTTGTCAAAAAATTTTGGTAACAGTTAATTAACAAGGGTCAGTGAGCATTCAAACAAATTGTAAAGAGACCATCACTCAAGAAATCCTTAAAAAGTTTGAGAACCACTGTCTTAAATACCCGGTAATTTATTACATATTTTCATTAAAAAATTATGCATCATTTTTTTTTTTTACAACTTCTGAGTGTTGAACTTGAATTTTACATGTTTAAAAACAAACATTTATAGAAGCCTCATGCATTTTTCTACAATTTGATATATAACAATAACTTAATTCATTTCCCCCACAAATTCATATATAAAATAAAGTTATTAAAGTCATGATTCTAAAATTTATTGACTCCTTAGTAAGCTCACTAGAAATGTAAGGAAAAAAAACAAAAAATTCAAGGAATGAAGAGTTAATATCCTGAGCGATAATGTATACATTCAAATTTAATTTGGTACCCAATGCATCATTTGATTTCTAATGGCGAGATATATCAGTGCTCAAGGGTGGGCCAACTAAAATATTCTAAGTTAAATTTTTTACAAAGTTAAAGGATTTGAATCACATAATGTTAAAGTTTCATTTAACTTTAAATTGCAAATACCTTATTTTTTTATATTTTTTAAAATATGATTTTAGCTCTTCATTCTCTAAAGCAGCGGTTCTCAACCTGTGGGTCGCACGACCCTTTCCCAGGGGTCGCCTAAGACCATCTGAAACACACATGCTATACAGTCACTAAGCAGCAACGAAAATAATTTTGTGGCTGGGGGTCGCCACAACATGAGGAACTGTAATACAGGGTTTCAGCATTAAGAAGGTTGAGAACCACTGCCCTAAAGGGAAAACCTCTGTTCTTCAAAAATAAATTGGGTTTTTTCTATCTCCCAAATCTTGTGCTTGTCCCCAAAATTTAATTTTTTTTGTTGCAGATGGACCCTCCCAACTGACCTGTAAAATGTGGACTGGCAAGATTTTAGAAGTTTAGTTGGTCATTTATGATATTAAAAATTGTTGATGTGATACAATATTTACTGTGCCTTGTGCTTTTAATTCAGGATTTGTGCATTTATTGATCCTTTTGTTTACAAATTTTATCAGATATAATTTATTGGTGCCAAATATTAAAAAATAAATTAGTCAATGAAAACGAAGTGTTTAATTGATTTTTTAATTTTATTCACAATAACATGTAATGAGTTTTCCCTATACAGCTGTTCCATTTGCATGACATGATAAAAGGATCAGATGGCTGAAATAAAATTTATGTGTATTTCATTTCCTTTACAGACAGCCCAGTCATAATTGGAGAAAAAAATATATTTAGTTCGGTGACCAACTTCAACATGCAACTACTCATTAAAATTCTTTTAAGTAATAAAAATATTTGTACGTCTCTCCAAACCTTTCATCCATCAGCAATTAGAAAAAATTAGCTTGATAATGTCTACAACCATAGCTGCAGTTTGTGAATAGACATCTCTTTGATCAAATTTTAAAAGGAGAATTTTATTAATAGTTTCAAGAGTAGACATACAAGACAAAAATGAAAACAAAGAAATGTTTATGAATATGAAAGATATGGGAGCACAAAAGTAAGCAAATGGAACAATTATTATTATAATTGTCGATTTTACATGACATAAAACATGAGTAATTGTCGGACCAGTAATAATAAGAGTCCTAACAGATTGTACGGATAAAAAAAAATAATTTTAAAAAGTAATTCAAAATAAATGGAAGACATCAGTTAAGTCAAGTAACTGAACTGCTTACCTCATGGCAAAATATTATCCTTCATATATACACACTAAACCAGTGGTGAGCAACCTGTCATGCAGAGGGTTACAGGGGAATGATAACTCTTTAGCAAGCCAAATAATAATTATCTAGAAATCGAAGAGAATGAATGGTCAAGTAATTCCTCATTGAAGAATGGCTTTGAAAATTCAAATTGATTTTGAAAATAATAACCCTAGAGGAATAATTTTAAAAGGGCTTTTGATTATAGTTACACAATTTTACAGATATTTTATTTATGAAGGTTATTTTTACTTGCCAGGAAATCATATACAGTTGGCACATTTTACAAAAATATTTATTCAGTTTCTGGATGGTCCTGCAGGCCATAATGTGACCTACAAGTTTTAGGCTGCCCACCTCTACACTATACCAGGATAATTTTTAAATGAGTGACAACAACCATACACATGTACTCATGTTTTTCCACTAATTAACTTACCTTCACATTCATACAAAAAAAAAGCCACATACCGGTACCATGAAAGTGCAGAAGGTACACGTTATATAAATATTAAAACATTGTAAATTAATTATTTTATAAATCTGTTTCATGTTTAAATCTAAGTCGCTCAGAGAATCTTGGTGATTGTGCAGTTGTCAATGGCTTGTCACTTGGTTTTACATTAACTGGTTTATATCTGGAGAACAAAAAATGGGTAAATTAGAAAATCTGAAGCACCACATTGCAAATGTACAGTTTTTGTTATCAAGCATAGTACTACCGATAAAAGTATTACTGGAAATGAACTATTTTAGCAGTTATGAAAAGGAGTATCTTGACAAACGACTTAGGTTGCATATCACGTTCATCTGGTAAATAGGTGTGGATAAACTGTAACGAACATACAGTAAGTTGTTCTTTTTAAATTGGACGTGAAAGTTAGATAAAAAAAGGTAAATGGGGAACAAAATTCCTTTCTCAAAGGGTAATCTTAGACTTTAGCAAAAAAGTAACCGAACAAAAAAAAAAGTGTGTTACCAACAAATAATAAAAGTGAATGTAAGAAAAATAACAAAAAATGAATGTGCCAGAAAAATTTGAAAATAAAATATATAATAAAATATAAAATCACATAAACTGTTTGAAATAAATAATAGACTGTACTTTACAGTCATGTGATCCCAAAACTGGTTGTCACCAAAAAGAAAAAATGTGAGATCAGGTACATTTGGGTAATTGCCAGTATATACTCAAATTAAATTCATTATCAGCAAACATCAGAAATCCAACAAAATACAACATTAAGGGGGCCATGCTGGTCCTAAACTGCCTCTAAATTTTGTGCTGGTCCTCAATCACATGTTGTTCTCAGTATTTTGAATAAGCATGTAGCTGTCATTTGGATCCTCTAATTTGCTTTTGTGCACCTCCACAGAAGGTGACCAACATTTCGGTACCCAGGTATAATACAGAAAAGTGTTGATAATCCAGATTAATTGTAGTTTAACCCCATTTTATTATCAATATATCCTGATTGTTGAATTCCATAACGAACCTGGTGTCTTATAATACTTCAGTAATTTAAAAAAATTAGAAATAAATATATAGCTTGCAAAAACTATTTTATTGGAAAACAAAAGAAAAATTTACCAGTCATAACCTACAAAATATGGCTAGCACTATGTTAAAAATCACAAGTTTTGTACTTTAAATTTTTTATGGAATAAATCTTTTTGATAATGATTTGTGTTTCTTTATGTCAGCCTAACCCCTAGATCAGGGTTCACCAAATTATGGCCCACGGGCCAAATCCGGCCCGTGAAGCCAGTTCAGGCCCGCCCATGGTACTTAAACTTGGTTGATAAAACGTATGAAACATGAGACCTTGTGATAAAATTTAAATTACAATATTATATTTAGAATACTAGGAGATATTCACACATGCTGAGACCTCCTGGCTGCTTTGCGCCTTAATTTACTATTTTCAATTTAAAATAATTGTATCTAGATTTTCTTGTTTATTTAACAGACCCGTTTACTCTCGAACTCCTAAAATCGTCTCAAAATCACACAATACGGTATCTTAATAGTAAATAAATAAACATACAGTATATATAATGAATACAATAACTACTCGCATCGCAGTGCCTAGTGGGATCGAGCTAAGCTGGCGTCAAAAAAAGTTAACTACTAAAAGTAGATGACCACGTTTATAATACATCTGCGGTCACTTTGTTTTGCAGACGTGTATTTGGTATAGATATTAATTTATACTGAGTGGACATACAGATCATATTATCAGTCTCAAACCTGTTTACCCTCAAAATCGTACAATATCATCACAAAATCGTTCAATACATTATCTTAATAGTAAAATGTAAACATACAGAATATATAATGTATGCATCTTAAAATCGTACATTGTACGCCAAAATCCTAAGAGTAAACAGACCTGCAGTCCATCACTGGTAAAAATAAAGTTACTGGAGAAATTTAACGTGGTTAAAACTCGAACTCAGATCAGGATAAAACATGTATTTACATAAGAATTAATTAACAAATGATAATATCACTTTGAAAACATACTAAGTAACGTAAGGTTGTCTTTAGGAAAAGCTGGTTTAAAAAAATTATAAAATAAGCATCAATTTCCATTAAGCCTATTACCACTAATATATTGTCGTCTGATACTACGACAAACTGTAAATGGGTGAAAAAAAAAGTGTGTTGGAAATATAAGGGGACATTGAAAATGGTTTTGGCCGTGGTTGGAACTAACATCCCTTCAACAAGTTCAGTTGTGCGGAGAACAGAAGAACTTGGAGTAAACATAGTGCTACAGATATGCGAGAAAGCTAGGAACTTGCTGTGGTATTCTCTGGCACTGGATGAGTCTACGTATCTCTTACAAATTTTCCTGTTTATTTGTGGTGTCAATTTGGACTTTCAGATAACGGAAGAGTCGGCATCCGTTTGCAGCATGCATGGAATAACTTTTGTCTATGAGCAAACATTTTTAAAAAAGAAGTATGTGAAATCATATTGAATGAGAGGGACTGATAAACATTTAAAAGCAACTCTCTTGATTGGATGCAGCAATTCCAAACCAAACATTGATGATATCTTGAAAGCCAAACGTCAGTTTCACAAATCTCACTAAACATTTTTGCTGCTCAGTTTGTGAGATTCGAATAGATGCACTCTAGGTCTGATGTAACTATCTTTTTGCTAACGTTGCCTTCTTTCATAACTTTTCTGGTAAATATATATGTTGGTTGTCTTTGCTTTTTGTACATTGTACGCCACTCAGGCATGATTAACATGGAATACTAAACTTAGATTTTTGTCTTTTTCCCCAGAGCTTTTATTCTGGCTTGCAAGTATTGTACAGAATGATTATACGGCCCACGCTCGGCATTGTAAGCGTTATCCGGCCCGCCATGAAAAAAAGTTGGTGACCCCTGACCTAGACCAACAAATCCTGCATAAACATGTCTTGTAAATATTTAAGTCACACTTTACTACATGACTTGTGATAGGTTACTGTTGTGATGGCACCACCCATTCAAATGTTTTAGCCATGTCAAGAGATGCCAATGTATACACTTAAAATCACTTTGCCATTCTCATTCCTACAAAAAAATATTAGGTAATGATTTTTTCATCGTTTTGGTGCATGTTACAGAACTACTTCTTCCAAAGTCGGTGCACTACTATCTGGAAATTCTGTCTAGAAACATGATCGTTACTCTTTCAATTACACCCAAGACTTTGTGACATTTACAGTTAACAAACTAGGAGTTATCTATGTAGCTGATATGATTACTGACACAAGTTTTGACAAGAGAAACAAATTTTGACACCTTTCCCCTATATGTTCACAACTTTTAGGTGCATTAGGGGTTAAAAATGTAGTTTGGCACAGTATATCAAAACAAAAATTATTATAGAATTTCAAAATTAAAAATTTTAATACAAAGCAAACAACTAAAATTTAACAGAAATATTTTAATTTGGCTTTGAACTTACTTCTTTACACCTGATGCCTTGTGAACAGCCTCCTGCCTTAACCGGGCAACGGCTTCCATTTGTTCCCGTTCTATTCGCTCTTCTCGTTCTCTTTTAAGGGCCTCAATTTCCGCCTCTCGGGCCTTTATGTGTTGATCAAAGAGCTCTCGCTCAACAGCCCTCTGGTCTGTATTCATTGCAAAACCATTGATCTCTGAAATATTAAAATACCGGGGTTAATTATATCAGTGTGTAAAAAAAAATTTGAAAAAAAAACAACATATATTTCTAGGGAGTTAATGCAATTTAGAAATTTAATTTAAGTACCCCGTAAGATTGTAAAAAAGAAAACTATTGCAGTTATACTGGACTTCAGTTTGCACAGGACAAGGTAAAAGTAAAACAATATCTAAATAATTTTATAAGATTTAACCAAATCATATAAGTAACTTGCAAATTTACCAACCATGAAATAGCCCACATTAATTAAACTCATATTTCTTATTTTTAAAACAAGGTTTGATGAATTCTAATAGTGCTCAAACCTGTCAGTGGCCTAGCAGACTTCTGGACCTGGAAGGGTTCTTTGTGAGTAACTTCATTTGGTCTTGCTTTAAACTGAGCGGCCTCTCTTGCAAGTCTCTCCTCCTCCTCAATCTGCTTAAAAATGGAGGATGCAAATTGGAAATGAGCAGGCTTTAGATTACATGCATAATAAATATACTTGTTAAATTTCATTTTGTTTCTTTCGTTTAAAATTTATAGGGTATAACATACATAACTCATGACCAGAATCCCCAAACTGAAATAAGCATCTAACAATATAATAATAGTTTTAGTAAATAATGAACAGATTTACGCTGAGCTGCCAATTCTACAAAATGAGCAAATAAAATTTAATTTAAAAATAAGGAACTATTGTTATTGTAACAATTGAAATTAAACTAACCTTCGATTTAAACTCTTCTTGATATTTCTGACCCCGCTCATCAACTTCAAGTTGAAAAGGTTCTGGCTGTGTTGGTGGGCGAAGCTGTTTGGGTGGCAATTGATCTGGACTATCGCTAGGCAAGTCCTGAGCATGGAACTCACGAGCCTAAAGGTACAAATAGGATTTAAGTTTATTTTAAGTGCAGGATTATCCAACTACAGCTTGCCAGTCCAGTATTGCCTTCTTTGATAGAATGCAGGAATAGTTTGATCAGATCGGCAACACTTGTAAATTTTTCTAACTGATCTTATATAAGATTACTTAGAATTAATGTAACTTATCTAATATAAGATTACTTAGAACTAATGCAAAATTTCATTAAACCAAAGGTATTTGATGTCAAATTGTTACTTAGATTTCTGTATAGCAATGTTAAGAATATTTAGAGATTCAACTCAATAAGTTAAATTTTTTAAAGAATTTGTAGCTCTACCATACAGAAACTCCTGCCACTTACAAGTGAAAAATTGAGGAACATAAAATCAAATCTTTGAACAACCAATATTTAAGAAGATTAATAAACATAAAAATAAAATGGACACACAGGGAAACAAAAATGAACTGGTGGCAACTGACAAATACAGGGGGAAACAGCTTTTTTATACATCCACACATGTGGCCCTCAATCCTAAATTCAAATCTTCACCATATTCTTAAAATTGGAATGGGCATATTTATTGCAGTGACTGAATGATCACAATTAAGGCAAAAATAGGATAGCAAAAACAGTTTTTTTTTCTTTCCCAAAGGCTGTTCAATGAGAAACTTTGCAATTGTTTTGAAACCGTGGTTTAAAACTCTCAAACGAAGTACTATGTAGTTCAGCCACAAGATTCCCATCTATTGGTCAGAGACAATTCTTGCACTTAACGTTCGTAACTGAAGACAAGGTTGACTCTTATAACATTGTGAACCCAAACATTAAGAGCAATTTTAACATCCCAGATTTCAAGCTTGAAACAGACCTGTTTACCCTCAAACTCTTAAAATCGTACAATATCATCACAAAATCGTTCAATACCTTATATTTAGAGTAAAAAATATGCATACAGTATATATGTTTACACCTCAAAATCGTACATTGTACGCCAAAATCGTAAACAGGTCTGTTGAAAGTACATCGACTTAAAGATGCTGCCAAGTTTCAGAAAGAGGATGTTCTTTGTCGACGTACTGGTCACCATTTTTCCAAGCTAGTATAATGTTTTAAGAAAATCAGGCTTATTTAAATAAGGCAAACTGATTAATTTGACAGCATTCATCAAACTAAAGTAACAGCTGAAACTGAATTTAATTAAACTTTTCAAAATCTGAAAATTGGTCTTCAAAATTGCTGCCCATTAGAAAATAGTATTTTAGAAAATAGTATTTTTCCAATTCAAAGTTGACCTCATCAGGAGTTAATCAGTGCTTATCACATCATTCAATATAACAAAATTTAAGAGAGTAGCAATCCAAAAAGTCAGCTGATTAGTGTTATATTGTTCAGCATTCAATTGATGGTCCAATTTCAGACAATTTCTTTTTTTTTTTAAATAAATCTATTTATGTCTGCAAACCTTTGTTTTTACTGATAGCTTTTTTAACATTAAAATATTTGAACTATTAAAAAGATCAAAATGATTTGAAACTATGCAAAGGTGGAGTCAAACTATGATTCTTAAGACGGTGTTTTCAAGTGTAATGTAGTGTGTGCTGTTCGTGGTTTACAGCAAGCTTAATTTCAGTTTTTAATTTTATTCTTGGCCACAGTTACACATTTTTAATGTCAGATGACTAGAGCTCTTAACTTATTCATACGAATGAAAAATCCTGTTTGAAGATTTCTTGGCTAAATTGAAATAGAGTTAAAAGAATAAGAGGCCAGAGACAGAGCAAAATGTAGAGATCCTAGATGGGGGGCATTGGAGGATGATCGCAACAATGGACAAATAACTGCCCTGGCAACTCAGCATCCAGCTCACTTAGGCAGCTAATTAGCATATATTTAAAAAAAACTTTTATCACAAATAAAACTGGTATTATTGCCATCGCAATAACCAATTATAAAGTCACATCTTTCGTCTTCAATGTAGTACATTGAGTAATAGATCTCGAGTAGCCGTGTGGATGGTACACGTTAACCTTGGACAGCAACTCATCTATCAGAAGGCAAAGTCTGAATTCAAACCTGCAGATGGAGTCCCATAGGCAGATAACATTGAAGGAATGAAAAGTCTGTCAACTCCTCCGAGGCTACTGGCGCCAAGCTATATCATCTACATATGATGTTACCTTGGCTTATCCAGATGCATGGAGAGAGGTGATTTGCTGTCTAGGGAACCAGTTTATCCTCCTCAAGAAAAATCCGTGGCCTTGTCACTTCATCATGCAAAGTCTACTCCATCGTCACATTGTGACGAATGGATGCCAGCAAAAAAGTAGTCTCACAAATCTATTATACGATATAACAATTGTTGGCGTTTCCATGATAAATGTTGATTCATGATCCTTTAAACCATCATCTGTGCTCTACTTGTTTGTCATCGACTTCTCTTTTAAACTTGTTTATGACTTCTATATTTAGGTTCAAATGAACTTGTATTATGTTGATTCAGCATAGAAACATAGAGAAGCAGGTCACAATAATTTGAGTTTATGTTAAACTTTATGACTGTTGTGTGAATGACCCAATTATGAAGGATATGTTTTATACAATTTAAATACCTTCATACATTTGGGGATGTTTTAAAATAAAAATTTGAGTAAATAAACTATATTTTCTTATAGTGCCAGAAAGAGAGATTATTTAAAATGTTCTCCCGCCAATAAAAAGGAAACATATATTTTTAATGTCCATCTAGGTCATCGGTTTATTTACACACCTTTCTTTCCTCCTCATAAACTTGTTGGATTTTCCTTTCTTTTCGTAACATCATTTCTTTACTTCTTTCCTCAACAGTGAAAGGCTCTGGTACAGTGCGTTGATGAGCAAGCTTTGGCTTGAAAGGGACACCAATGAATTTTGGTGGATTTGCCTTCACAGGCATCTTCGGCCCTTCCTATCGAATATATAAAATTATAAAGTCACAATGCATCATAGTTTTAATCAGTTGTAGCAAAATATTTATAATGAAGGTAATCGCTAGGTTCCCAGAAGCCACACAAAATTATTTTTTTTAAATAATTGACAAAGTTAGTCTTTAAACTGACAAAAGAATGATTTTTCTCATAAGGGAAATAAAGACACCCACCTGGATAGTCAGCTCAGGAGGTAATCGAATTCTATTTTTAAGGGCAAAAGCTGGTGATTCTGGGATTGTAATAGGCTGTGGGGCCACAGGTTTCACACCCTGAAAATATATGCACAAACAATATAGATCCATCCAACTTACATAAAAATTGATCACCCTGAAAGCAAATAGTGATTGTTTTGTTTTATTTTAAAAAGATAGCAATATTTTGAATAAGTGTTTAAAAATATCAACACAATATCTCTGCTCTCTCAATATTTCATACGTTCATCAATAAAGCTTACCACAGGGCCTTGCAGGATTTTGGGGTTAAGGGGTCTAGCATGAAATTCATATTTCTCTTCTTCTGCGTCTGCCTCCTTTTGAGAACCTGATTTTTTGTAATGAAAATTAAATTCCTCTGCAACTGTTGTGGATTTTGGTGCAGCTAAAGGCACACCAATTTTAGGTACTTGAAAGATTTTTTGATTGACAGGATGTGCTTTAAACTGTTGTCTGAAATTGAAACAATATCATTGGATATATTAATGACAAGTGATGTTAATTCCTTGCTATTTTGAAATGTATTTCATGTGTTTTATTGCATTAAAAAAAATCTGTATAGGTTTAACTTTTTTTTTTTTTTTTTTTAAACCTCACAATATCATTAAAATGGGTGCAAAATATCCACTCGACAAAATAACAGGGATCTGGACTTTTATCAATAGACCATTTGCTGACCATGCTTAACAATGGGGTCAAGCAAGGGAGAAAATGAATTTCTGTGCAGATCCCATTATCCCATCTGTGCAGATCACATTATCCCAGTCTGTCACTGCTTCAAAAAAAAAAAAGTTCCTGTACTGGTTAAAATGTAACGTGGTTCAAACTCAAAGTCAGATAAGCATACACAAAAAAAAAAATTAAAATAAGATTTAATTAACAAATTAGGGCATCATTTGAAAAAAAACCTAACAAGTAGCTTGAGGTTTATTTTTTAAGAAAGGCATTTTTTTTAAAATTTAAAAATAAGAATCAATATCCAGTATGCATTTTTCCCTTTAACATATTACAGTCTTATAACTACCAAGAACTATAAATAGGTGACAGGAAGAGATGGTATTTCAAAAAAAAATTTAAAAATGCTGTTTTTGAGTGTTCTAAAAATAGATTTCAAAGACTCTCAAATGTGTAGAAATCTAATATTACTGCGCATGAGGAACAGTGAAGAATGCATTATATAGTTTTCTCCATTACATCATACACCTCTGAAGCAAACAAACAAGAGTTTTGGTACGTACGCAAAAGTCAAATTTACTACCCCTCCCCACTGTTACATACATTTTTGTTGGTTTTTTTAAACGGAACCTCCACCCCCTATTTTATAAATGGGTTGCTGCTGCATGCTCACAGGGGCATTGAGAGATATTACAAAGTTTTTATAATTAATTTCCAATTTAATGCAATGTGACATCTAGGGGTTGTGGCGCAAACAGTAACCACCTTGAGTGACTACTCTTTGCAGTTACTAGATGACGCTTAGTGACTGACATAGGTGTTTTATTTATTTTACCCATCAATTTATTTTATTTATGTATACGTATTCACTATTTCAAAGTGTACTTGTAAGAATATAACACAGGAAGCCTGGCATAGGTGAAAGGAAACGAAAATTTTAGCCCAACAAAATATGCGTCACAATGCTCTTTGGACTTGAGGGGGACTAAATATTACTGTAATACCCCTAGTACTTAGTACCATCTAAGTATATCTAGCAAGTTCATTTGTAATACATGGCAACATTATGACGATAATTCCTACAAAACATTCGTGCGAAAGTTGTACAGCATTTGAGAAATAAATATGGTATATTTGGACTTTCCGAGTTTCAGGATGAATATTTAAAATTTTGTAATAATGTGACTATATGCCGAGTGCCGCCCCCCCTCCCCGTAGACAAAATAATATACAACCCCCAACCCCCTCAGTACATAAGCATGGCTCCAGATTTACTAAAATTGTCACTAGAGCAACTACTTCTACGTTAATAAATTATGAAAATACACAAAGCAAAAATATGACCATCACCACTATAATTACGAAAATGTGGCTGTGTTAATTTTAAGACTTAAATATTTAGACCCCCCCCCCCCCTTAATACACCCGTACACAAAATCTCCTAAATCAAGGGCAAGCGCAATAACATTATAGATGGTCCTAGCCAATAGTATTTCTCAGTCCATTCACTGCTGGGTGTAGAAAGAAAGTTAAAACAACCGAAAATGTACTTATTATTTTTTTTTATCTGAAAAACTACTAGAGCGTATATATTTTCAACACAGTCGCTTAAAATTGTAGTCTCAACAGGTCTTAGAGTACAATCGTAAAAGACACCTCAAAATCGTACAACGTAAATGGGTCTGGATTAGTCTTTTATAAAAAAAGTTGGGGAATAATATTCTCCCTTGCCTTTGCTAACACTCAAGGAGAGGAAATCCAGTTTTTCTAAAGTTTATTAAAGATCATGTAGTTAATGATGACTGCTTTCAGTTTTTAAGTAATAGAAATTTTTTTGTTTCATATGTTAAACAAATAGTAGCTATTGTTCAGTTAAAAAAGGGCCATGTAACTCCCCAAAATATGGGTGCAGTGATCTTTCGAGTCAACTGCAAAACATCCACTGTGACAACCCTAAACTAAGGGTGAAACCTTGATAGTTGGTACATTTTACTCTGTACCATCTTTCGAACAAGTCTAATATGTTTAATTTCCTTTTTAAAAAAAACAACTCACTTTTGATGTTCCTCAAATTCTAATTTTTCTTTTTCCTCTTGGGACAATGCATAATTCGGTCTTGATCGACCTCTGGTTGATAATTCTGGTGTTTTTGGAATTGTTGGTTTTGGGGACTGTGATCTTAAACGTTTTTCATCCCCCGAAATATTAGACTTTGAGGCAGAATGGGATCTCCCTCGGCTTCCTGTTGAAAATTTACAAAAGTTAAAAACAACTAATTTATAAAAACGATACTTGCTTTGTCAGTATATAATGTAATTATGAGACTTGTGTGATCATTTAAAAACAGGAGATAAGCGAATTTCAATACAGAATTTTTTTAAATAATCCATATTTTATTAGAGTTACCAATAGGCTGTGACCGAAAGCGATCAGGAGTTTTTTTGTGAAAAGCAGCCACTTTTTCAGCTACAGATTCATATTTCTCCGTCTGATGAAGTTGCGGTGTACTCCTTTGGGTGTGTAGTTTAAAAGGTTGTGTTTTAGTCAAACCATGTATCACTGGTCTTGTGGGTAACTAAAGAAATAAAGAATGCTCACACTGTATTGTATGAAGGGGTTATTTGATGACAAACTGCTGATTATCTGTTATGAAACAAACTCTTGTTAAAAATATAATAATAATTCTACAATTCAAAATTTTATTAAATAAATTATGACCTTTTTCATCATCATCTCATAATTTTTAACTTTATTACTTGCTTTCAAATAACTGACAACATTTATAAGTTAGTAAAAATTACTAGTAAATAAAAACTAACCAGTAAATGTATTAATTAAGTTTATAAAGATAACAATGAAAATAAGTTTTACATTAGAATCTTCAATGATGCAATAATTCATAATTTTAAAGCAGATTTGATTTCAAATTCTTGAGAATTACACTAACAAGCACAATTTCTATTATACACATAGTTGCTGTTATTTATTGTAAAATAAGAGGTTACTAAATGTTCACTTTGTGTTGTTTAAACAATTAAAATAGTTCACCTATTCTTATTGTGGAAAATGAGAGGAAGACCAAAGAATACATGAAGACGCGAGCTAGAGGCAGACACGCAAAATATGGGATACACCTGGAAGCAACCGGAAAGGAAAGCACAGAACCGTGATGAATGGAAAATTCTTGTGGACGGCTTATGCCCCAGAAGGGGTAAAAAGGCACAAGAAGAAGATTCTTTCTAGGCAAAAACACAACTATGTGGAACAAAACAGGAATAAAGATTAGGCAAAGACAACTATGGCAGGCAAATGTTTATAATATGCTGTTAATGATATTTTAAGACAGGAAACTTACTGTTGATGCAGGTAAAGCCTCTCGCAATGATTTTGTAAAATCTTTAACTCGTTGCTCAGTGACTGGGGGATTTACTGTCTTAATCCTCTCATCTGTTTTAAAATGAAAGCCCAAAGGGAGAGTAGATGGTTGGGTTGATCTAACAGGTATGTATCCTTGTGCTGTTAATGCTCTTTTACAAGAATCCTAAAAAGTAAAAAGGTACATTACTTTAAATCAACAACTCAATAAAAATTTTCATTCAAGAAATAAGTGTAACATGTTACCAGTGAATACAATATATATAAATATATATATATAGGTATAAAAAGTTAACAATTCTTAGAACACACCTGTGCAATTTTGCGTGCTTTATCTGCCTCCTTTTGTAATAATGCAATTTTTTCAAGTTCAAGTTCCTCGGAAGTCTTAATTTTATTTAAATTAACTAAAGAACTAGAATGCTCTGACAAATTGCTCTTTGAACTATTCATTGAACTGTTTTGAGGTTTAGCCACCATATTTTTTGTTGCATTCAAGGCAGCTGTCCTTAAACCCTTGTCTCTTAAGCTTTGTGACCTTCTCAGACCATTCAAGCGTTGGCCGGATGATGCTTTCATAGGAGATCTAACATGTTTTCGAGGTGAGCGGCGAATGCCCTTTTGTGCAGAGCCTGATACTTTCTTATCAGTAACAGAGGAAGACCTTTGTCGTCGTTTGTTAGGGGATGCTGAAACATAGTCAGAAATGGGTAATGAAATTTGACTTTGAGTATTGGCAGACTTCAGTCTTGTATTTGCTGCTGGTGAATCCAAAAGGTCTTGATGGGCTCTTGGTGATTTTGTTACTGCATCTGATTGAGGTTCATCTGGTGGGCTATCGTCATGTTGTGAAGGATCTGCTGCAGACTGATCATAATCTGATAATTTTTTACGTTTCTGAGGTGAGGGGCACCTTTTAAACAAAGAAGAAAAAAGTAAAAATATATTAATATATAATATTATTTTTATAGAGAAATTCAGATTAAAAGTCAATAGAGCAATCACTAAAACCATGTACAGGAAAAAAGAAACTTACACTGAACTAGTCTGAGCTGCATGAGTTTCTGATACAAGCATTCTTGTGGGCTGTGCCCTTTGTCTGAGGAATTGAAATTAAATAATTTTATGATACAGCATTTTGTGAATATGTAGTTTACATGTGAGAATGTCAGAGAAAGTTTAAAACCTTTTCATTAGTAAAAAAAATAGTCATGTAAAAATGTTTTAATCAGCTGTACTCTTTAAACATAGGTAGTTAATAGGGAAAATTGATGCTACTCTGAATGATTAAACTTAATGCCATATAGTGTCTACCTAATAAATAAAGAATTATTTTCTTCACTCTCATTTTAAGAGGAATTTAGGGACAGCTTAAAGCAGGCAAGAAAAAATTACTTACAAAGGAAAGAGGAGGGGGGTGTATGTAACCCACTGCCCAGCGCCAATTTTTGGTGATGCCCCAGGACAAGTATAAGACACATAATTTTATTTTTCCCCATAAACGAATGGTGACGTAGCTTACAGTTTAAATAAAATCACAATAAAACAATCAGGTCTGAGAACTATAGCTTTTTAATGTAAGGTACAATCCGTTGACAGAGCCGACAGTACAATCTCTCATACATGCCGCCAACCCGACGCATCCGTTCCACACCACAATCTAAAAGATGTACACATCTCAAGTCCCAGTTCGCCCCCCCCCCCCCCCCCCCCAGTCCCCCCCCCCCCCCCCAGTCACAGGGAACCCGCCCCCTGAGCTGACCATGGGTCAACCCCGGGGCAGGGATGGTTATTCCCGCGTGTAAATAACCAGCATAAAATTTAAGGCTAGTACACAGATGTGTGTTACTTTAAATGACCATGGATGTGTACGTGCTTGAGGTTACCCATAGCAGTCACACTATGACTATGAGAGTGGATTTTCTTATTCCTATCTGTTCCATACTGCCGCATGTAAAATGTTACCCAAAAGCAGTTGCAAATAGTGGCACATTGCCACAAAAGGTTAGTTAATAAGTAAAAGCTGAACTTTCTGTTCTAACATAAGCCATAAAAATATAGGATACATTTTTAGTTTGTATGTACTTAAACTGACCTTGGTGAGCTTTCACTCACATCCATTGGTACTGCTTTGACACCTCCATTAGACAGCACAGGGCCTATGAAGAAGTTATTATACTACTTTAAGTTCTAAAGCAACTTCAAGACTAGAATAACAAGAGCTCAAAGCAACATGTCTATTAGTGTAGTCTAATTACACAGCACAATATTTATTAGGTTTGGACTGCTTAACTTTAATGTTATGAGTAATCAGCTATAATGTCACTTGAATCAGTATTTGCTTAGTATTAGTATTTTTACAATTAATCTGCAAAACAGTCTTTGCTTAAAATATTTTTTTTATGATTGACTTGGTTTATGAAAATGTCCTAAATTGCTGAAATTCGAATCATCTATTTTGTGTAGTCAATTTTAATGAACATTTTCTTTATAAATATTATAAGACTTAAAAGAAAATCCACCCTGTTTTGGTAATAGGGCTCCAATTATGATAACTAAAACGGCTTATGGTCTGGCATTTTTCAACAATTTGGATGAAAATATTTTAATTATGCTAAATTCTTACTTTTCACAAAGTTTTTACAATGCATGCCCAACCGTTACTCATATCATTGTCAGATTTAAACACTTTACACGATTCTTGTAAGTGACATTTAAACCCTATTTCATTCTTCATACTAACTATTATTATAACAGTCAAAGCCAATCATTTTGATACCTCAGTTTGGTACCAGAATTTGACCCAGTATGGGAGTTACTTAACCCATGCAAAATATGTGCTAACCAGTTAGCATACAGCAATATGCAGTCTGCACTTACGCAAACTTGTTAACTGATATTAGAAAATCATTGTTTATTTAACATCATTTGTATATGAAAATTTATTGTCCCTTCTAGTTGACATTTATTAAATGGACATAAAAACAATACCTGCTCCCTTCAAAATCCGCTGTGGTTTTTCTTGTTTGGGTCTCGTCACACCATTTTCAGCTAAAAAAGAAATTAAAATAATTTAAAGCGACATATGCCATCTGGTAGAGTATTTAGTTTTATCTGCTATGTTGACAAATAATGTTAAGAAATTATAAACCTTCTATTAATAAATTTACAACTATTCCACAAACATAGCATCAAATCTTACAGTTTTAAAATTGTCAGCCATTTTCAATTTTAAACATTTATTATGCAAAAGAAATCAAGTACCAATAGGCCTAATAGTAGAAATATATCTTAAATACTTTAATCGTTTAACATACAATTGCACTTAAGTACAAAAATGTACCTGGTTCTATGCCAATATTCCGAAAGTCGTCATCCTCTGTGTCTGGAGGGGGAAAAAAGTAACATTTCAACAGCAGTAGTGAATCGAAATTTACAATTTATTTTAAATGGAATCAGAACACTTTTCAGGTAACAGAACTTTACAACCATGTAATGAAGTAATGTCTGATGCAAAAGTCTGACACAAATGAAAAAAAATGTTTAATTTGTTTTCTTTAAACCTCTTGAGATGGAGCCTTTTGGACTATGTACCTTTCCACAAGCCCTGCCATAACTTTGCAAAAAATTTCTAAAATATTAACTTATTACTTAACAAATTTAAAACATATATTTTTGTAGGGAATTAAATGAACTAATACGACCTTTATGAATCAAAATTAACTCAACATTTATGCAAAGGAGATAACATGGTTTGCATAATGTATGCATATACTAGAATAACGAATCCCCTAGAATAAACACGTCTTACTTGCAGAACTTTGTTAAATTATATGATTGTCATCCTAAATAAATAAGTTATTATTGGGCAAATTATTGGGAAGATTGATCTGCCTTTTGCCTTTTTCCTCATAACAGACCTGTTTACCTTCAAACTATTAAAATCGTACAATATCATCACAAACTTGTTCAATATATTATCTTAATTAGTATAAATATAAACATACAGTATATAATATTATAATACATTATAATAATATGTATAATGTATACACCTTAAAATCGTACATTGTGCGCCAAAATCATGAAAGTAAAAAGGTCTGTCATAATTCATAATAATAACACTGGTAATAACAACCTGGAGCAATTGATCGGCCCAGGCGTCTCAAGAGGGTTATATCATGACATCAAGGGGATGTTAGATTTTGAAATATACCAACTTAAACTACTTTAGATAGCCGTTATGTGTTATGGCAGAAAAAAAACAGCCTATCTATGCCTATGAATAGTCTATACCAGTGTTTCCCAAACTTTTAAGTTTCACGGACCGGTGGACAAGTTTCGAAACAGCACCAGGGACCGGTGCTAGATTTATTAAATACATTTTCTTTCTATTTAAACATCAATATTCATGCTCTCTGGACCGGTAACGTAAGGCTTGCGGACCGGTGCCAGTCCACCGTTTGGGGAACACTGGTCTATACTATACTATAATCATAATGAGATCATCTTTTTTCAAATTTAATATTTAAAATAGTAAAGAACAATCTGCTCAAAGCCTTTGCTTAATCTAATTTTAGGTTTGAGTTAACTATGTGAAAGTTGTCAGTCATTAAATTCATTGTCTAACTTTAGTATTTAAAGTTTCAAACTCAAACATCTGGAAAATCTTAATGAAGGACTAACCTATGTGGTCTTGGTTTAAAACTTTATTGCCATAGCCATAGCCATAGTGCCCATAGCTAAAAAATCCACTTTAGTTTTAGTGTTAATACTTATTTATGACAATAGTCAATATTATAACTATAACACACTCAGTAACATACTATGACTATATACTCACACTCACTCCATCATACTCATACATTTATGATTTCCTACATATGATTTTATACATTTCCTATTTATTAATGACGTAGACGTGATTTTAACACTACCGTACTTTAAAGTTAAAGGCTGCACTCAACTTCAACTAGGTCTAACTTTAACTTGTTTTTGCTCTACCTCTTCACCATTCATTTTCGTGATCACGGTCCATACAATAGCTTTAAGTTGAGTTAGAGATACAAATCTCAATCATGAATCAAGACACTCTTCACTCTCACTGTTCACATTCAGCAAATAATTACTAACAGATTTCCCATCATTACTGGACTGGCACTTTGACAAAACATAAAAATTAATATCTTCGGTATGTGTAATAATTTGTCTCGTAATAAGCGATGTTGTAACAAAGGTTTAATAAAACGTCACATATTGTTGTAAAGCTATAGAGAGTAAACAAAACATTTTTTTTTAAACATCCTTTCCAATTATTATTAGTTGTCACATTTAAATTTAAATGGACTCACGTCGGTCAAACCATGTATCATCATAAAACGTCTGGACGACATCTGGTTGAGTGAAATCAACAAATTGTGGAGCATCGAAATCCCACTTAGACTCCGTAGTCATTTTTTTATTAAGAAAATTTAATTCTAAAAAGTAAACAATAGTTTACAATATATATGTTCATAAGCGGTCGGCCATGGAAATACGAAAATTTAATCTGCCCGCACATATGATTTGACCAATCGTGTGCGTTGAAAAAGGTTGTGAGCAATGCCGAATTTGATTGGATAAAAATGAAACAGTAATACAATTAATTTATTGCGACAAAAAAAAAAATCAATATTTTGTATAATTGTTTAACTTAAACTTAAAGATTTGATGTATTGGTTAATATTTTTTAATTTATTTGCCAAAAACTATTTTATAGAAAGATATTCATATTGTTCTTGCTTTTTAGTCTATTTGATCTGCTGTACTAAAAGTGATCGGTTGCTAAGTGATTAAAAATGTATACCATTGTACTAGAATATATGACCCGATACTTCTGGATTATTAATCGTAGGCATTTTGCGATAATGTCTGCATGCTATTGTGAAGTCTCAACACCTCAAAACCAAACACAAAAATCGTATATAACTGAAACAGGTTTTGATGCATACTAATTTTTTTTTTTTTTTTTTTTTTTTTTTTTTTTTTTTTTGTAAATACCGAAACGAAAATATTCAATGTCCGTGAAAGTGAAATATATATTTAGGATACAGTATATGGAAATAATTTATTTTAAAAATAAGTATCTAGGTAAGATGTTTACGTTTCTAACATAATTTAATTTTTAGAAGTATTTATCCTCTATGTAATAATGACCTACCCTATCCCTACTAAATTTTTTGTTTTCTAAAAATAGTTTAAAGTTGTCCATAAATTTACAACAAAAATATAGATACCATTTTAAATATTTTATACAACGGAATTTGATATATTGATATCCTCTTTGAAAATGTAACCAAACTTTTCCATCTCTTATCTAATATATTATGGGAAAATCGTAAAACATAGAATTCTTGTATCTAAAGAGAAATGTCTGAACCCATTTTCACGACTGTAACAGCCTTAGTTAAGAGTTTAAAAAAAAACTTAGTCTCATAAAATTTTACACCCACTTTTCTATGAACATCACTTTTAAATAAGTGGAAACAAAAATATATTATCATATATTGAAAGAATATTTTAACCCATCTTTGCTCACACCCATGATTTTAAAGGGAAAAAAATATGACTGTATTTTTAAGCTTAAAATTTGTACATGCGTAAAATGATTGGGCTTTGAGACTTTGTTTTTTTTTTTTTTTTGAAGCATCAGTATACGTACGTAAATATACCCATGGTTTGTCAATGCCCCTGAACTATATTTTCTTGATTGGTAGGCGTATAACTTTTGTATTTTTAAGCTTAAAATTTGTACATGCGTAAAATGATTGGGCTTTGAGACTTTGTTTTTTTTTTTTTTTTTGAAGCATCAGTATACGTACGTAAATATACCCATGGTTTGTCAATGCCCCTGAACTATATTTCCTTGATTGGTAGGCGTATAACTTATAACATATAATTATTTTTGTAAATGAAATGTAGCACCACTTTTTAGCGACTGTAATATCATTGGATTTAAAGATATTGGCATCCACATAAAAATTTACACACACTATTTCCTCTGTTATGTGTTTACAGAAGGTTAATTATTAATCAAATTCACTCCTTCATTCTTAAGCGTATCTTGTGCTAACCGAACTGGTGCAAAATTAGTGTAACAAACACCACCACCCCCCCCCCCCAAACAACATGAAATCATACTTTTGATGATAGCCCCAACGTATCCACACATTTTTTGCACGCCCCTGAAAATTATTAAAATTATAAAGCCCTAGCACCCTTTTATTGCGCATTGTTTTAACCTTCTTAAAATTGTTCTATGCATAATGGAATTTAGTCAAAATGGAACCGGAAACGCATCGCCGCTATTCGGACCCGGGTCCCATTAGATTCAAGCTATTCGGATGTCATTTGTGATCATATATTTTAGTTAAACTGAAGAATTAAGTTTACAAAAATATAGTCATTTCAATTATCTTTTATTTGATACCAAATTTAGTCTTATAACCAAACAATAATATTTTATTTTAAATTTTAATCCCAACCTCTCACTTCGCGGACCAGGGTCCGAATAGCCACTTCGTTTTTTTTTAAATACAAAGCTAAAATGTATTTTTATTAAATTTATTTTTTCAAGTGTTGTCACACGCGGTAATGAGATCAAGGAAATTTAAAGCTTGTGATTTGTGAGTTTCAGTTAAGTTTTTATAAGATTATTATTTTTTGTTTTCTTTGAGTTCAATGAAAAAGTTTTTATATTGCTTGTAGACACTTGGATAATATAAATTAAAAATTTATTTCGCAATATTAAAGATGCAATAAAAAAAAAACAATAGATGTTTGGGTTTTAACGTTGTTATTTCAATTTATTTCTAATTTGTAATAATAATAATTAAACATATAATTAAATATAAGCTGCTGAATTGTATTGTTATCATATTTAACTTTATTCGACTTCTGTGAAAAAATAGAAAACACCTATCATTGTTTGTAAGCGTCCAAATTTATTTATATGAATTAGTTTGTTAGTGTTATTTGGATATCTTAGTGTCCTTAGCTAATAATGATAATTTAAAAAAAATATCATTGTTGTTAAGCATCTAAATGTATTTAAATTGATTAGATTTTTTTAACGTTGCATTGTCACCTTAGTCCATTTTTACACAATTATAATAAATTAATAATATAATTGTCAAATCTAGTATGTTACAATAGTATTTATTCCCCTTTTAAAAATAAAATAATTCTAAAATAATATTTGTCAGAATCAGCCATGATATGTTTTAAGCACTTAAATGTTTTTAGTTTTCACTATCTACATTATATCTAACTTAAGATATTTTTAAAACCTTACCAACAAAAAATAAAATGAGAAGCCACAAAACAAAACTTTCACGTGTTAGATTTTGTTAACCACCATTTACATTTTATATTTTAAAAGTTTTCTTATTCATTTTCTAGTAGTAAAATCGTACTAATTGTACTTAATACACCTGCTTTTATACTTAGTAGAGACATAAGTTGTTGGGTTAGTTTATTGTATGTTAGTCTCACCAGAGTTTAATTTTTCATGAATGTGTCATACTTGTTAAAGCCAGCAATCAGGGACGTCATTTGGGTGGGGCGATGTGGTGCATTTTGCCCCCCCCCCCCAACCCCTTGAAAAAAACCGCAATGACGCCCCTGCCAGCAATAAGAAATTTTAATGATAAATGCTGAGATTTCCCCTTTGTTTCGCTTTCACGAGCCTTAATCACAATTTATTGTATTTATAGGTTTTTGTTATTATTTTTGTATATATTTTTTTTTACCGACAACCTTAAGTTCTTACTGACGTTTACGTACAACCTAAAATTATTACGAGCTTGTACTTTGTACGGACCAACTGTATCATTTACTTATTGACAGTCCATAAAGAAATCCAGCCCCCAGTACATTTTATTTTGTCAAAAATGTGCTGGTAGTGTCACTTTGATAATGGTGTGTGTGTGGGAAGGGGGGATGAGGGTGTTGAAGTTAACAGAGAGTGGGGAGTCTGGTAGGTTTACTGAGACGCCCCCCCCCCAACTCCCCAGGAAACTTTCAATATATTCAAAATTCAGGGATGCGTTTGGCAAAACTTTGAATCATTTATGCATCAATCCACACTTAAAAGGGCAACAGAGAGATACTAGTTGAAAGGAATGTCATCTGTGTTAACCTTTAGTAAGTTCTCCCCTGCACTAAAAATGCCATTCAATTTCAAATAACGAAAAGTTGACATTATGTGACTCAAGTATCGACAGTATCTATAATTTTTATGGGAACTAAAATATTCATATATTTATAGATTTTTAAATGTTTTCTTTTCTTTTTTTGTATATATGTTTGTTTGTTTTTTTTTAAAAATCGAATTGTTCTTTATTTACATTTGTGATGCCAACTTTGTCTTGGTGCCCCAAACACGTGGGTATGTTGTTTAGTCGGTCTGGGCCAGGTCGCAGCACAATCGTTTGGAACGTTCATGAAATGTGCCAAGTACAGTGGCGACGCCATCAAATTTATCATGGCGGTGTCCTTGACAGGTCTTTAAAAAAATTTGGCGGGTCCCAAATAAATGTATTAAAAATAAAATTTATTTATTGAGTAATATTTGTTTATCTTCTAACTTAACCCAAAGTTTACATGCATTGTCAGTTGTCATAATAAATTTATTTGAATGTATCATATTTGTCAATCACGTTTATCTAGAGAATCCACACTCGTGACACTCCACACCATTGACCCATTGACTCCTGATACACTGACACAGGAAAGGCCAATTTCATTTCAAAATAATTCTGCAGTTAGGATACATAAAAATTTACCAGGTCATTTGCCAGGTCCCAAGTTTTTTTTTACCAGATCCTGGGACCCGGCGGGACCTGGTGTAGCGTCGGCACTGGCCAAGTGTAATTGACATAGTGACAAAGAGCAATCCTTTTCAAATACTATGTCTAAAGCCTGTTTATATGATTGTATTTTGAATTGATACTTTATTACAAGAAAACCAAACAGCGGATCGAAACCAAATTTGACATTGTCATAACTTTTGAGCTACACGTGGTTCCTAGTTCCTAGAAAGTTTGGCCAAAATCCCTTCATCGTAAAGTGTAATTTAAAAAGGTTCTTAATTGCATAGCGTAAAGAGTACACAAAAATTATTTTCAAATGACTTGAAAATTCGGCGCTATAAAAAATCTGTTGCGCTCAAGATAGTTATTTTTATATGCTCATTATTAAATAGCCTTTATTACGAACGGTGCACCTTCAAATACGCACTAGGTAATAGTAATAAAAGACAGTTTTCGGTGCGCTTTTAAAGATGGCCTACATAAAATAACGAAACCTCCGACAACTACTGCGATTTAGAGCTATAAAGAAAAGAGCACAGTGAAACACACAGACAGGTGACCATCTACTGCATTCAGGTCTATTTCCGGTCGTCTTGACTAAATCTTGCCATTGAATTAAATAGGAAAGGACGAGAGAGTGAGGCTGACGAATTGAGCAACTCTCCCTCGCTATA